CCCCCCAACCCCCCACCCCTTCCACAGCTGCAGCTCCAACCAGGCAGTGGAGAAGCACCTCTAATGATCTCTCAGGGTAGATGGGCCCGTCATATTTCTGTGGCAGAAGCTGGTGATGAATAACCTCTCCTTCCTTTAACAGCCCCTCTGCTGCTCTGAAACAACCGTTTCATCTGATGACCGGCATCAATTAGAGCAGGGGAAAATTGCTACTCCTTCTGCCGCCGGCTCTACTTATACACAGCAGTTAACAGCAGGTATGATGACACGTGTGACACCAGCTGGTGTGACCTTCTGTTCGTCTTACCATAGGTGGCGCTGTGAGCGACAGTAATAGGGGAGAGATCTCACCGCTTATATCTGCTATACTTAGCTCTGTCCATCATTTCAGCACAAACATTCATCCGTCCATCTTCTGCTCGTACCAGAGGATTGGTGGATCTGAGGTGGAACAGGTTCTGCTCTGAGCAGCAACAAAGAAATCTGTATTTATCAAACCTGCGTACACACACACTAGTAAGTAACAAGTAATGATACGATGATATGTAATGATATAATGTTAGACAAATATGTGGTTTTTCTTTATTTTATTTGAGTGTCTGGACCCCAAAGAGTCTGTCCAGAAAAACCCTGGACAAATAGTTGGTGACCCCTGCTGTAGAGTTCCTGTTGTCAGTGTACACAGTGCAGTCACGTTTGTGGTTGCTTCAGTTTACAGTAGAGAGAATAAACATGATTGGTTAAAAACTTCAGAAACCAATTTAAATGAGGAGATATTTGGTGTGAAGTCTGAAGCCTGACTTTATGAAACCATATATCCTCCTCTAGCTGCTCGGGGATGTAACACAATTCCACTAAATAGTTTCCTTTGCATAGGCCTTATGCAGTTCTTATCAATCTCATCCTTCATCATCTAATCTGTTCCCAGTGTTTCCGTTGTCAGAGTGAATAAAAACACAGACGTTTCACAGCCGGAGCCCCACGAGCCGAGCAGGCGCCACGGTAGTGAACGCTGTTAAAAAACCCAAACAGAATTCACTGCACGGACTTTTCCCTCCACAGTCCATAAACGTACATCTTGTAAATTGTGCTCCGTAACTACCTTGTAATAATACTACAGCCACTGACCAAAACAGCGGCGGTGGGAGACGAGGTGTAGTGAGATTCGGCTTCAGTACAGCAAGACCTGGTCCAACGAACACAGCCGTTCATAGCCAATAACATTTGTTCATCCGTCCGTTCTTATGGAGGTGTGCTGCGGACTTACCCTTATGTTTTCAAAGGAAGATTTGTTGGTGACGTCATACAGAAGAAGAAGAGCTGAAAGACACAGAAGGTAAATAAATACTAAAGAAAGTTCAAGAAGTAAAAGCTAAAAACAGTTTTGACTAATATTTCAAGTATTCACAGATAAAAATATATAAAGACTTTGGGAATTGCTGGTTAGAGTTGAATAAATTTCCCCAGGTATCCTAGCATTCTCCCATATTCCTAATACAAAGTGTTAGGTTAATTGATTAGGGGTTATTTTCAATTGTCACCCGACAACTGCTGGGATTGGCTCCAAGGGAAATTAGTGCAGTACAACGTGTACTTTTCTCCCACACAGTCGAGCAACATCTAAAGTATTCCTCTGTCCTCACAAGACCCAAAAGTGAGTCACGGACTATTTCCCCCCCCCCCCCCCACACACACCCATCTCTCGGAATGCAACCTCTCCCATTTGTCTCCTGAAATGTTCACGGTGATGAGGCTGAGTTCCATTTAAGTGTAGACAATCTCCAGGTCGAGGAAACCTTGTTGTCAGCTTTTCTGTAAATTGAAGCTGTGTGCCGTGCTGTCAGTGGCTGAAATATCAATCGCACATTTAGTTGGACAACCATTATAAAACTATCTTCCTAATCATTGTTTTTATAATGTCTACAGGTGCACTGTGTTTTCAATTAGACATTTCTCAGCCTGTTTCTTTTGGCCACGCCCCCTCGTCTACCTAACCATCTTCACCTGTGCCTTGTTAACTCCTCCCCTGTATATAAACCTGAGACCTTCCCTCTGCTCGTTTGTTTGCCAGTTTCTAAGCTGTTGTTCAGTTTGAAGCAGCCTTTACTCAAGCTTTTTTTCTGTACCTGTTTTTTTTTTTTTTTTTTTTTGTTTAAACTTTGTGGCTTATGTAGCCCAGTGATTCTGTACTTCAGCTGTGTATCTATTGCTCTCCTGTGCTTTGATTTCTGTCTGTTCTATCTGTTTAGTCACTACCATTGCAGTTTGTGTATCATGGACCATCGTGTTTGGCCTTTAACCGTTTACCCTTTGTAGACTAGTTTTGCTCCACGTTTGCGTGCATCCTTCAAAGTAACGCGTCATCGCTCATCAACAGATGCACATGAACTAATCTGCCTTGAGATGGGGGTTTAGATCCTGAATGAACTAATTCCCAATCAAGGCAAAGCCATGAAAACGGCTTCACTATACTGATCACATGAGAACAGGTTGAACGTAAACAAAACGGGTATCGATTGTGCAGCGAAACCCCATTTAAAAGTCACGGTGAACCGAGTATATTAGCCTAACTAATACGAAGGCCGATTCAGGATTGTCATAAAGGTATCTGAGTCCCTCAGACTCACTGTCCAAGCTGTGAAAGTGAAGTAGTGAACACCAATTTGAAATGGTCACACTTTCAAAAGCGTGTGTGTGTGTGCACCCTTTCACCACTGATAGTCGTTGATGACATATTTTAAGTGACTCGACTCTTTGAGGTTGCATTCTAAAAATGCACGATACTACGCTCTGAGATGTTACTCCCAAAATAGACTCTCCTTAAAATCCTTCAAGGTTCCTCACATTCAGCAGACAGATGCAAATAAATCCTGCCGTCTTCGTGTTGACTGATCAGCAAACCATGAAATGCATAATGAAGATAATGGTGAGACACACGGATCATTTCAACTCTAAATCGTGCATGTAGTGGTCCACACATACACAAAACCCAGTCTGGGTTCATTTGCATAAGGACCTGCTCGACTGCAAACACATTAAAAGTCAAACCAGGCAACGCGTTGTTCCTTCACATTAGATGACAAACTGACAAAAACACCTCCCAACACTGTCTGAATATCAAGTGGCTAAAGATGAAAAGCCACCGTTTGCCCACTCTGTTAATAACTGTACTGCATACTGAGACATTCAAATACTTTCCTTGTACTAAACCTATTGAAAAGGGGCAACACAAACAGGATTTATTATCTGTGTTGACAGCATGAGATTCTCTGTATACTTTTGTACTAGTACAGTTAGTACTTATGTCTTTACAGCAACACGTCGACTGCATCTAGCGAATAAGAAAATTATATATTGTAAGATATTTTTCTAACATTTTCATAATGTGTAAAATTCTCTGTAATATTGAGACTGATATATATTTAATATACAGTTAATACTATTTGTCTGAACAAGTATAAACTTCAAGAATTCAGATTCTGCTGTTTCAGAAGTCTTAAAAAATCTTCCTGGTAAAGGAGAATTGAACAGGTCCTAGAACGGAGCCCTGCGGTACACCCGTGAATTATACACATAAAAAGCTACCAGTTCAATATAAAGCACCTTTGTTGGTTTTAGACAAAGCTGAGGAAAGTGAGAAAGTTTTAAAAGATTTGTGCAATGTACTTTTACCAAGCTTTTTGTGAAATATTTCAATCATGTACTGAAGACGACTGCCTCACCATGGGCGTCGCGGTAGTAGGCGTGGGTCACACTACGGAAGCGCTCTTGTCCAGCTGTGTCCCAGATCTGCAGAGAGTGAGAGAGCAGGGGTGATCAGTGAATCCAAATTGGTATTCCAGTGTTTGCTCTGCTGGTCCAGTGTAGCTCAGGACAACATCATCCGTTTTATTTACATGTCCTCTGACACCCAGTCTAAAAGATGAAAAATGAGACCGGCTCAGTGTGCTGTAAAGTATGGTGCGTGAACTGAATGCCTGGAAAAAGAAGGGAGGCACCGCAGTAAGACGTGAACGCAATAAAACACACTGATGTCACCAGTGAGTCGATGGAGTCGCTGACATTTAGCTGCAGGAAGCCAGGTCACGTTTAGTTGATGTGTTGAGATGTTCAACCTGTCAAAACTGGATCCAGTTTTCTAGGAGCTCTAGTCAGATTAGGTGATTTCCAGAAACACATACAGGACCAGCCTGGTTATGATAAACAGCAACATTAATGGCGACAGTTTTACTGCTGCCGTGCACTAAGCTGACTAAACACTTTATAGCTGTTTATAAAGTGAGGAATCATCGATTTAAAAAAAACAAAACAAATAGAGCCTTATTTCATGCCTTGTGAGGACTGAGCTGGTTGTTCTGCAAGCCTCACTCTTTTTCCTGCATGTTTAAAAAAAACATGAGTTTTTAATTCGCAGGTTTTCCTAAAGGACCTAGAGGCTCAAAGATTAGAGCAGATCAATAGCAGCTGGTTCCTCACCTGAACTGAGCTTCCTTTGACCATATATGGAGCGAGAGCAAAACAGCTCTCGTGTTGTGATTTGTATTTTTTGAGATTATTATGTTGCCAAGCTGGTTTGAGGGAGTTGTGTATGCATTAGTGTTAAAACCATATTAAAATGTATATACTGTATATAATAAACATATAATTACTACATCAGTACGTTGACGCAGGCATTCAAACTGCTGTGTTTGTGCACATTGAACCTTTAGATGATTTTTCTCACCTGCAGCTTCACCTTCACTCCATCAATGTCCAGAACTTTATTCTGAAAAGGAAACAAAGAGAAACGTGTTTTTCATTAAGAAACAGTGTGTCTGTACTTGTGTCTGTGTCAGTTCGCAGACGTCTCTTCTTATCTACCCTCCAAACTTTCTTCTTCTACTATTAATATCCACCTGTCTTTGGCCCTACTCCACTCTGGACGTGTCCCTCTGTCCTTTCAGTATTACATTTATCTGGAGTACAGAGTACAGAGTACAGAGTACACAGGCAGAAACTCTAATAATGGTGCAGTTGTTTCCCAAGTCGGAGGTCGAGTTTATCCTGAGAGCCGAGGGCACGGAAGGTTATACTACCTGCCGTTTAATCAGTCTGGATAATGCACTTGATTTAGGCTGAAAACACAGCGGGGTGAGGACTGTCACTTATTGATCCAACGGCATTCATCCTGCACGCCAGCCTGTGACCTAGTTGTTAAAGGATTTAGCTAGTAATTAGGGGATTGCCAGTTTGAATCCTCGCTCTGGCAGGACGTGTTTTGTTGAGCAAGCAAGAACAACTCCACAGCTCACTGCTCCTGCAGAAACGGACAGAGTCATTCCCTTTTGAGTAGTGAAAAATGTGATATATGTCTTACGCTTCTCCAAAGTACACATGGTTTTCCATCTCCTTCTTACGTGCCTCACCACTTACATCAGAGCCAGTGGCTGCTGTAGAGAAGAGGAACTGACCTGAATTACAGCCACCTCATTTAAAAATGACAATTACGAGAACAT